GTGGTGAGAGAGAGGGCTAGAGGTGAGCAATCAAAAGAGTCCTTAAGCATTTTAGATTTTATCCTAAGCACAAAAGGGATAGGTTTAGTGTCTTAAAAGATCCTGAGTGGGTGAAGACTGACATACTTCACCCACTTACGCTTACGCTTTCACCCACTTACGCTTACACTTCACCCACCCGCTTACACTTTCTGCATTGTGGGTTGGAGAGGAAGCAAGTTAGGAGGCAGGGAGACTCTGTGGAGGTTGGTGTAGGAATCCAGACCAGATAGTAGCAATGATATGGAGAGGAGTGGCCTGGGATACTTAGGTATACTCTTTTTTTTTTTTTTTTTTTTTTTTAAGGTAAACTCTTTAGGTACAGAGTCCGTGATGGACATGAGAAGAGAAAAGACAAGGATGAGATATTTTTTTCCTTGATGGTGACATTGTGGAATGTAGGGCCTTGGGAGAGCCACTGCCGAATGCTCTTCTGGCTTAGAGACTTTGTACTATGTTTTAGCAACTTTTTAAATTGTTCCTTTTTTTTTTTTTGAGACAGAGTTTTGTTCTTGTTGCCCAGGCTGAAGTGTAACACGCAATCTTGGCTCACTGCATCCTCCCTGTCCCGGGTTCAAGCAATTCTCCTGCCTCAGCCTCCCGAGTAGCTTGGATTACAGGCATGCGCCACCTTGCCTGGCTAAGTTTGTATGTTTAGTAGAGACAGGGTTTCTCCATGTTGGTCAGGCTGGTCTCAAACTCCCGATCTCAGGTGATCTGCCTGCCTTGGCCTCCCAAAGCACTAGGATTACAGGCCTGAGCCACCACACCTGGCCTCATTGTTCCTTTCTTTTCACCCATCAAGAAGCAACATTACAGCGTGGTCCCAGATAGATACATATTTTCTTAGAATTTTCTATGACCCTATGGAAAAAGTTTGGTTTATTTTGTATGTATGTATGTATGTATTTATTTATTTTGAGATGGAGTCTCGCTCACTCTGTCACCTGTTGCCAGGCTAGAGTGCAGTGGTGAAATCTTGGCTCTCTGCAACCTCTGCCTCCCACGTTCAAGCGATTCTCCTGTGTCAAGCCTTCCAAGTAGCTGGGACTGGAGGCACACGCCACCATGCCTAGCTAATTTTTGTATTTTTAGTAGCGATGGGGTTTCACCATGCTGGTCAGAATTGTCTCGATCTCTTGACCTCATGATCTGCCTGCTTCGGCCTCCCAGAGTGCTGGAATTACAGGCATGTGTCACCGTGTCTGGCCTGTATGTATGTATGTATGTGTTTTATTTATTTATTTATTTTTGAGATGGAGTTTCTTTCTTATTACCCAGGCTGGAGTGCAATGGTGCGATCTTGGCTCACCGCAACCTCCGCCACCTGTGTTCAGGCAATTCTCCTGCTCAGCCTCCGGAGTAGCTGGGATTACAGGCACTATGCCCAGCTAATTTTTTTGTATTTTTTTTTTAAGTAGAGACGGGGTTTCACCTTGTCGACCGGGATGGTCTCAATTTCTTGACCTCGTAATCCACCCACCTCAGCCTCCCAAAGTGCTGGGATTACAGGCTTGAGCCACCGCGCCCGGCCTGTATTTATTTATTTTGAGATGGAGTCTTGCTGTGTGGCCCAGTCTGGAGCGCAATGGTGCAGTCTTGGCTCACTGCAACCTCCACCTCCCGGGTTCACTATTCTCTGGCCTCACCCTCTCAAGTAGCTGGGATTACAGGTGCCTGCCATCACACCTGGCTAATTTTTGTATTTTTAGTGGAGATGGGGTTTCATCATGTTGGCCAGGCTGGTCTCAAACTCCTGACCTCATGTGATGCTTCTACCTCAGCCTCCCAAAGTGCTGGGATTACTGGCATGAGCTGTCGCACCTGGTCTATTGTTTTATTTATTATTATTAAAAAAAATTTTTTTTTGAGACAGAGTCTAGCTTTGTCACACATGCTGGAGTGCAGTGGCACAATCTCAGCTTTACAACCTCCACCTCCAAGGTTCAAACGATTCTCCTGCCTCAGCCTCCCAGATAGCTGGGGTTACAGGCATGTGCTACCATGCCAGGCTAATTTTTTTTGTATTTAGTAGAGACAGGGTTTCACCATGTTGGCCAGGATGGTCTCGATCTCTTGACCTTGTGATCCACCCGCCTCAGCCTCCCAAAGTGCTGGGATTACAGGCGTGAGCCACTGTGCCCGGCTTTTTTTTTTTTTTTTTTTTTTTTTTTTTTTTCTGAGACAGAGGCTGGAGTACTATCATCCAGGCTGGAGTACAATAGTATGATCTCAGCTCACTGCAACCTCTGCCTCCTGGATTCACATGATTCTCCTGCCTCAGCCTCTGGGGTAGCTGGGATTACAGGCCCACACCACCACACCTGGCTAAGTTTTTTGTATTTTTAGTAGAGATAGGATTTTATTGTGTTGACCAGACTAGTCTCAAACTCCTGACCCTGTGATCCGCCCACCTCAGCCTCCCAAAGTTCAGGGAATATGGGCGTGAGCCACCATGCCTGGCTGGCCGTAATATTCTTTAATTTGGGATTTTGTAAAGGTTTCTTGATTCTTCCTTGCCTCTTGTGCTTTCCCAGCATGATGTCTGCTGTGACATCCGATGCTCTGCTTGTGAAACCCGTCTTTGTTCAGTCCTTTTTTCTCAACTACCAAATCATTCTCTGTGTGTGTGTGTGTGTGTGTGTGCGCGCGCGTGTGTGTGTGGTTCAAAGTGTTTACCAGTAGAATAGAATAGTAAACTGAGTTCAACACCACAGTTTACTAGCATGCTTTTGTTTGTTGGTAGGATCAATTTTATTGTCTTTTTCTCTCTTAGGGTAACAGACATAATAGTAACAAATTCGAGATGATTATTGCTTTAGTTTGTATATACCCAAGCCCTTTCTCAAATAAAAGAAGCAGAATGAGCTATTGTTGTCCTTTTTGCCTATTCCTTCTTAAAAGGAACAGTAGTTTTCTCTCCTAGTTTCTTCTCACTTGACATGGCCACCTCTACATGGGGGCTTAGAGGAGTTTGTATGTTATGGAGAGATTTGTATACTATTCCATACCTCCGTCACCATTTAAAATGGATTTTGGGGAGGGAGAATGGTGATTCTGCACTATAACATGAAGCTTTATCTGTCTGAGCCCATAGGGAAGGATCATAATCCCCCAAGGCTATCAAGAGACTTGTTCTCATTATTATTACTATATCTCATTCATTATTAAAGAATGAATCTTTGGGGCTGGGCATGGTGGCTCATGCCTGTAATCCCAGCACTTTAGGAGTCTGAGGTAGGCGGATCACTTGAGGTCAGGAGTTTGAAATCAGCCCAGCCAACATGGTGAAACCCCATCTCTACTAAAAATATGAAAATTAGCAGGGCATGGTGGCAGGTGCCTATAATCCCAGCTACTCAGGAGGCTGAGGCAGGAGAAACACTTGAACCTGGGAGGTGGAGGTTGCAGTTAGCCAAGATTGAACCACTGCACTCCAGCCTGGGCAACAAAAGCAAGACTCCATCTCAAAAAAAAAGAATGACTCTTCCTAAATACTATTCCCTTTTGGGATATAAAGATCTGGTAGTTCACGCTTGTAATCCCAGCACTTTGGGAGGCTGAGGCAGCTGGATCACCTGAGGTCAGGAATTCAAGACTAGCCTGGCCAACATGGTAAAACCCCATCTCTATTAAAAAAAAAAAAGATTCCTTTTGCTTTTCCAACTCTTAGCTCTCTGGCTCTCTGGAGATGTTAAGAGAGAGCTTTCTGGATCTCCTTGAGAGAGACTGTCAAGTAGAGCCTCTAAGAAGGGAAGGAAGCCCAGCACCGATTGAAATGACCCTTATACCAGTTCTAGATCCAACACATTAGGCAACTGCAGCGTCTGGAACCATTTTACTCCTTCTAGTGCATAATGGGAGGTAGAGGAATCACTGGCCTGTTAGTGATTCTGAAGTTTCCAAGAATAATATGCTTAAGTCTTTTTTTTTTTTTTTTTTTGAGTTGGAGTTTTGTTCTGTCGCCAGGCTGGTGCGCAGTGCTGCGATCTCAGCTCACTGCAACCTCTGCCTCCCAGGTTCAAGCGATTCTCCTGCCTCAGCTTCCCAAGTAGCTGGGATTATAGACGCCTGCTACAACACCTGGCTAATTTTTGTATTTTTAGTAGACACAGGGTTTTACTATTTTGGCCAGGCTGGTCTTGAACTGCTGACCTCATGATCCACCCACCTCGGCCTCCCAAAGTGCTGGGATTATAGGCGTGAGCCACCATGCCTGGCCCATGCTTAAGTCTTTAATTCTGTTTTTTTTTTCCCATGTTTTAGTCACTCATACTTTGGAAAGTAAGCAAGAACATGTTTTATCACCTCTGTTCTCCCATTCAGATACATAGCCCATTCCTTTAATAGATTTTTTTTTTTTTTCTTAGAGAGATGAGAGACCCTTGGAGGCAAAATTGTAAGAGGAGTTCTTGAATGGTCAACCTATGTCACTTGAGTCCTTTGGCAGTACCGGAAGGAAGGGTTCAGATGGGTCAACGGGCCAAGGATTGCCTGTTGCCTTTTTTTTTTTTTTTTAAATTTTTGTGAGTACATAATTTTGGATTTTTAATGGAGATGGGGTTTCTCCATGTTGGTCAGGCTGGTCTTGAACTCCTAATCTCAGGTGATCTGCCCGCCTCGGCCTCCCAAAGTGCTGGGTTTACAGGTGTGAGCCACTGTGCCTGGCCCAATTATATTCTTTTAGTTATAAAAACTATGGTTGGAGACCAGGTGTGATCAATCAGGCAGGCAGATCATGAATTCAAGAGATCGAGACCATCCTGGCCCACATGGTGAAACTAAAAATGCAAAAATTAGCTGGGCGTGGTGATGTGTGCTTGTAGTCCCAACTTCTCAGGAGGCTGAGGCAGGAGAATCGCTTGAACCCAGGAGGCAGAGGTTGCAGTGAGCTGAAACTGGAACATTGCACTCCAACCTGGGCAACAGAGCAAGACTCTATCTGAAAACAAACAAACAAAAAAACACTATAGTTGGATGCCTCAAAGTAGATGGCTATGCCTTAAACTGTATGTGTATTGTCAGGCAGAGGGCCTCTTCCATCCTTGTCAAGGGGAGTGTTAACCTATCCTTTCATACAACACTCTTGTATGAGCTGCAGCCATTTTCCAGTAGTACCTAGCTCTCTCTATGTTCTCTGATCCCTGGGCAGTAGAGTTTACTTTCCCTAGTTTGTGGTGATGGCTATGTATAAGATTGCTTCTGGAATTCTGGGAGATGGAAGGAATGGGGGAAATAAACTAAATATGTGATTTAGGATATATGTTTGATGTAAGGATTTTGGTTAAAGAGAGATAAAATTAGTAGATATTTTCTCATAGCTGATGGAATAATGAAGTTGCGTGATTGGAGAAAGTGGCGAGTACTTTTAAGAATCAGCTCAAGGCCAGGCAAGGTGTATCATGCCTGTAATCCCAGCAGTTTGGGAGACCGAGGCGGGTGGATCACCTGAGGTCAGAAGCTTGAGACAAGCATGGCCGACATGGTGAAACCCCATCTCTACTAAAAACACAAAAATTAGCTGGGCATGGTGGATGCCTATAATCTCAGCTACTTGGGAGGCTGACACAGGATAATCGCTTGAACCCAGGAGGCAGAGGTTGCAGTGAGCTGAGATTGCACCACTGCACTCCAGCCTGGGTGACGAAGCAAGACTCTGTCTCAAAACAAAACCAAAAAGAAAAAAAAAATCAGCTCAAATTTCTGAAGCAATGATGTTAGGTTTGGATATGTGAGATAGAAAACAGTGTTTTACATGTTTGTAAGTATTCTTTGTTGTATTCTAGATATACTAACCCTTTGTTACTTACAATGTTAGTAACAGCTAGTTTGTGGCTTATCTTTTAACTTTGTTCATGATATTCTTTGTTGTAAAAAAAAAAACCTGTAATTTTATTGTAGTTAGTTTAAGCAATCTTTTTCATTGTTTCATAGTCATTTATTTCATGAGTGAAAAAGTAAGAGGACATAGAAGAGGCTTACTTTAAAGGTGGGAATATAGTTTTCATGGTCTTCAGTTTTAATTTGGATTTTAAAATTTTGGACTTTTTGACATTTTTCTTGATACTACTCTTGATAAGGTTTTAGTAGAACCAGGCATGTACTTCTATATGTTTTCATAACTCTGTATTATTTGGAAATTAAAGTAGAATTCTTCAAGTTATCAGACTTAGTCTTTCTTCTTTTACCTGTAGCTGAGAAATTCCCACTTTGTGGCTGGTTTGCTGAGAACATGGTAATTCGTGCCTATGATTGCAGCAGTGGCCAAAAATCATTATGATGCTAAACAGAGTCAAAATTAATTCTGACTTCAGTACAGGAATAGAATTTAAGATGGTTAAACAGGCATGTAGTTGTGTTTAAGAATGATTGTTTCGTTACTATTTTTTTTAGCCTTAATTCTGTTAAAGCGGTGATTTGCAACTGAGAGTGATTTTTGCCCTCAAGGGGACATTTGACAGTCTAAGGATATTTTTGGTTGTCACAATCAGGTTAGTGCTACTGGAATCTAGTGGATTCCAGTGGATAGAGGTCAGGGCTGCTGCTAAACATCCTACAGCACACAAGATAGCTTCTCCCATCACAGCATTATCTAATCCCAAATGTTAGTAGTGCTGAGGTTGAGAAACCCTGTGTAGACTTGCTATCTTTTAAAAATGGTTTGTAGTTGGTCCTATCCCTTGTGAGAGCTGAGTGGGAAGGCCATTTCTTCATGTTTTGTTTGTTTCTTTTTTTGTCTCTAGAAAGAAAAAATCCTCTCATGTCACCCTCCCAAGTAGCTAGGACTACAGGCATGCTCCACCATGCCCAGCTAGTTTTTTAAAAAATTTTTTTGTATGGGAGTGTAAATTAGTTTAACCATTGTGGAAGACAGTGTGGTGATTCCTCAAGGACCTAGAAATAGAAATTCCATTTGACCCAGCAATTCCGTTACTGGGTATATATCCAAAGGATTGTAAATCATTCTGCTATAAGGACACATGCGTGGGAATGTTCATTGCAGCACTGTTTACAATAGCAAAGACCTGGAACCAACCCAAATGCCCATCAATGATAGACTGGACGGGGAAAATGTGGCACATACACATCATGGAATACTATGCAGCCATAAAAACACGATGAGTTCGTGTCCTTTGTAGGGACATGGATGAACCTGGAAACCATCATTCTCAGCAAACTGACACAAGACCAGAAAATCAAACGCCGCATGTTCTCACTCATAGGTGGGTGTTGAACAGTGAGAACACATGGACCCAGGGAGGGGAGCATCACACACTGGGGTCTGTCGGGAGGAAATAGGGGAGGGACAGCTGGGGGTGGGGAGTTGGGGAGAGATAGCATGGGGAGAAATGCCAGATATAGGTGATGGGGAGGAAGGCAGCAAATCACACTGCCATGTGTGTACCAATGCAACAATCTTGCATGTTCTTCACATGTACCCCAAAACCTAAAATGCAATTTAAAAAAGATGAAGATAAAAAAGATGGAAAATGGATATAGAAAGTTGGAAAAAGGGAGTGAATGGGAAAATTATAAGAGGTTATAAAAGATTTATGGAAATCCTGTGTGTCAAAGCTGATTGAGATTGGATGGATCTGTTTAAAAGGTTTGCATTAATAGTAATACAGTGATGCAACTGATTTTCTCTCTTGAATAAGATTTCATGTAGTATTAGTAAGAAATAATAAAAATGTTTTCTCAATTAAAAAAATTTTTTTTGTAAATATGGGCTTTTGCTATGTTCTTCAGGCTGGTCTTGAACTCCTGACCTCAAGCAATACTCCTGCCTCGACCTCCCAAAGTGCTGGGATTACAGGCATGAGCCACCACACCTGGCTTAAGTTGTTTCTTGAGCAGTCAGAATGATCTTGGTCCCCTTCCTCTCAGATTTCAGTCTCTCTTTCTTTCTTTCTTTTTTTTTTTTTTTGAGACAAGATCTTGCCCAAGTTGGAGTGCAGTGGTCCAGTTATAGCTCACTGTAACCTCGAACTCCTTGGCTTAAGTGAACCTTCTATGTTGGCCTTCTGGTAGCTGGAACTATAGGCATGTGCCACCATATCTGGCTAATTTTTTAAATTTTAGCAGAGACAAGGTATCACTATGTTACCTAGGCTGGTCTTGAACTCCTGGGCTCAAGCAATCTTCCTCTCTTGGTCTTCCAAAGTTCTGGAATTATAGGTGGGAGCTACTGACGGCTGGCCTCTAATCTCATTTTTAAATATGTATTTAATTTAGAATCCCCTAATGGTCTTCAATGTTAATGCTGTGATGATTTTTTTCTTCCCAGGGTATAACTATGATGAGGAATTTTTTTTTTTTCTCTCAAATTGGTTTCATGACTCTTTGAAGGTGAATCACATTTTGGTTTGCATGAGTTTTTAGTTAATTGATTAATTTTTTTTTATTTTATTTTATTGTTTGAGATGGAGTTTTGCTCTTGTTGTCCAGGCTGGAGTGCAATGGCGTAATCTTGGCTCACTGCAACCTCTGCCACTTGGGTTCAAGTGATTTTCTTGTCTCAGCCTCCCAAATAGCTGGGATTGCAGGTGCCCACCACCATGCCTGGCTAATTTTTTGTGTTTTTAGTATATATGGGATTTAACCATGTTGGCCAGGCTGATCTTGAACTCCTCACCTCAGGGGATCCACCTGCCTCGACCTCCCAAAGTGCTGGGATTACAGGTGTGAGCCACTGTGCTCAGCCGAGTTTTTAATTTATTCAGGCCTCTTGGAAAATATATTGGCTTTGTATGACATGAAGAATTAGGGAAAGTGTGGTCCACAGAGAATATCTACATGTAGAATTAGGGAAAGTGTGGTCCACAGAGAATATCTACATGTAGAATTAGGGAAAGTGTAGTCCACAGAGAATATCAACATGTGATTGTGGATGATAAAGAAACATATTAAATAAGATCTAATATACCTCTGATATACCTCAGATCTGATATATAAAAACATCAGTGGATGTTTTTATTCATACATATTTTACTCTAGTGGCAAATTTTTAAAACTAAGCTCATTTAAAATTATTTATTGAATGTCTGTTACGTGAAAACCTTATTTCTTTTTTGAGATGCAGTGGCATGATCTCAACTCACTGCAACCTCTGCCTCCCACTTTCAAGCAATTCTGTGCCTCAGCCTCCTGAGAAGCTGGGATTACAGGTGCCAGCCACCATGCCTAGCTAATTTTTCTATTTTTAATAGAGACGGGATTTCACCATCTTGGCAGGCTGGTCTTGAACTCCTGACCTCATGATCCACTCTCCTCGGCCTCCCAAAGTGTTGGGATTACAGGCGTGAGCCACCATGCCTGGCCGTGACAGGCATTTATTATTATTATTTTTTGTTTGTGACAGGCATTTTTGTCAGGCATTAGAGATACAGTGGTGAATGAGATGGGCATAATCCCTGCCCTCAAGGAGCTACATTCTAGAAGGGTAGACAGATGACAAGTGTTTGATCAAATTACTAAAATTGATAAGCTCTTGGTAAGAACCATGTAGACAATAAGGATTAAGCCCCAGCAGTAGGGAGGAAGGGCCTATTTCAGCTAGAATGGTCAGGAGTCTTCTGAGGACGCAGCATTTGTACTTGTTTTTTCAAAAAAGTCAACTTTTGGTTTTGGTTTTGTTCTTTTTTTAGACTTATGTCTGTTTTCTAAAGAATATTATAATGTTTTTGTTCTTAACATTATTTTTCATTTTTCTATTTTATTAATCTGCTTTTTGTTTTCTTCCTATTACTATTTTGGGGGTTAATTTCCTGTTCTTTCTCTAGTTCTTTCTTTCTTTTTTAAAGAAAGCTTTTTTACTGATGCGTAATAGATGTACATATTTGGGAGGCACACCTGATAATTACACCTGATAATTTAATACATTTATGTATTTTTTTTTAACTTTTTTTTTAAAGATGGGGTTTCACCATGTTGGTCAGGCTGGTCTTGAACTCCTAACCTCAGGTGATCCGCCCGCCTTGGCCTTCAAAATGCTTGGATTACAGGCATGAGCCACCACACCCGGCCGCATTCATGTAATTTTTAAAGATCAAATCAGTGTAATTGGGGTATCCATAAACTTCAA